ACATGCGTTTGAAATTGCCACAGTCTGAAGTTGCATCTCGATGCCACAAACGGCTTTGCGGTGTAGTGTTAGCATTTGCACATTGACATTAGCTACATAAATAATCTGCTGAGCTCATGAAGCTGCTGTGTCATTCCTTTTCATAGTTAACACTTTGTCTTGGACTAGTTTAATGTGCACTATAATTAGCCCTGTGTAGGGTGACTTATAAAGATGTTAAAACGAGTCTTGGTGCTTTAGCAGTTTGATGGCATTCTGCTTGGGGGTAGGGTGATTATTCAGGCTTAGTTGATTAAATATTAAATGGCAAATGAACAATTTTAGTTTGTAGCAATGAAGGCACGTGGTACAAATGGTGTCGTGAATTATTATTTAGAATTTTTTAATATATACTGTATGTATATATATATGTATATGTATATATATATATATATATATATATATATATATATATGTATGTGTATGTATATATATATATATGTGTGTGTGTGTGTGTGTGTGTGTGTGTGTGTGTATATTTTTTTTATTTACACACATTAATATAGTTAATAATAATAACATTAAAATGTGTAATATATTGCATTGATTGTAATAAATTTAGGTCATTGTTATTGTTATTATGGTGGGTTTTTTACTATTCTACTTATTATTAATATTAATAGCAATACAGATGACACAACAATAAATGTTAATAATATTAATAATCACAAACATTATATATAATGCAATATTAGATGTTTACATTATTTTGTTCATAAAAATATTGATATTAATGTAATAGATTTTTTATTATGAATAACAACATCCACAGACAAACAACAACTCATGCAAATAGGGCTGCACAATATTGGAAAAATCTGATATTGCGATATTTTGTTTTTCTGCGATTAAAATATTGCGATATGAATACATTCCCACAATAAAGTTTAAATTGCTCTCTTGGACCGGTTTCAGGGGAGTCTGGCAGCATTCAGGAGCAGAAGTTGAATAATCACAATGCAAAATAAATGATTGCTTTGTCTCGTTTGTTGTCCAAATATCTAAAAAAAGTCTTGAGATCAAGTAAAAAAAATGTTTTGTTTTTGGCTTTAGAAGAAATAAGTAAATTACGAGTTTTTCCTTAAAACAAGCCCCATTATCTGCCAATGGGGTAATTAAAATAATCATTTTCGCTTTGAAATGTACAGATTTGGATTAGAAACAAGACCAAAATGGGCGAGGCAGTGGCGTAGTAGGTAGTGCTGTCGCCTCACAGCAAGAAGGTCGCTGGGTCGCTGGTTCAAACCTCGGCTAAGTTGGCGTTTCTGTGTGGAGTTTACATGTTCTCCCTGCCTTCGCGTGGGTTTCCTCCGGGTGCTCCGGTTTCCCCCACAGTCCAAAGACATGCGGTACAGGTGAATTGGGTAGGCTGAATTGTCCGTGGTGTGTGGGTGTGTGTGTGTGCATGTTTCCCGGAGATGGGTTGCGGCTGGAAGGGCATCCGCTGTGTAAGGGTATCAACTGGATAAGTTGGCGGTTCATTCCGCTGTGGCGACCCCGGATTAATAAAGGGACAAAGCAGACAAGAAAATGAATGAATGAATGAACAAGACAAAAATTCCAAGTTATAAAGAATTTCTTTTGCACAAATTGTATAAACAATTCATCTTTGTTACACCTCCAAAAATACTTTGTTCTGTGCTCCTGGTCAACTAAAATCCAGACTCAAGATTGCATGTCTTGTGATGTGGCTATTGCCAATGTGTACATTGGGATATGGATTCTGAAACGATATATATTGTGCAAGTAACATTTACAATATGTTCACTTGATGTCCTTTTTTTTTTTTTAGCTGTCAACATGACGAGCACTTCAAGTACACACTTATATAGGAATATATGAAACAATCCTGCAGAGTCTCTTTACTAGTCGTGTGTGTGTGTATGTGTGTGTGTGTGTGTGTGTGTGTGTGTGAGAGAGAGAGTGTGTGTGAGAGAGTGTGAGAGAGTGTGAGTGAGTGAGAAACAGCAGATGTGATCCTCAGGAGGGTTTGTTAGCCTCAGGTGAGTTACGAGTGACAGCACAGACCTGCTCATCCTCACGCGTCTCTTTCATGTCCAACAGAAGCTGCTTCAGGAACTCCAAAAGCTGCTCCTGGAGGCTATACTATGTAGATTATGTACAAATATGCTCAGGCATTTCCCCGTAGCGGTGCTAGCGCTGACGCTTAGCCTGTGCGTGTGTGTGTGTGTGTGTTTTAAGAGATTATAAATGAGTGTAACACGGTTAGCTTGAGAGCCGTGTGTTTGAACAGGCTGATACTGGCCGCTTGTAATCGCCCACTGTTTGTTTTTGCGTCTGTGGGGCAACAGAGCTGCTCCATTGGACATTTTGAAGGTGTTTGTTTTGGTACAACAGAAGCTCATCCTCGCGCTTAGTTTTGTTTAATGTAAACATGAGCAGTGAAACAAACCACCTCAGGTGCTTTAAAGCACTTGACGTGTGTCTGTTTAGCATCAGCGGAGGATTAGACCTCGTTTGCCCTCGTTGGAAGCAGAGATTTGCGGAAATGAGATTTATCCAATTACAGGACAAACTAGTGATAAATCATTAATAGTGTGGCATAAAGCAAGATGTTTATTTTGTGCAGATTTTGATTGTAGGTAAATATTATAATATCGTTTAAGACTTGTCAAGTCAATGCAGGATTTTTAAAATCACTTTGGCAAGAAATACGGTTAAAAAATGCTTATAAAAATTTTTGTTTTAGCAAGGATACATAAATAGTAGAAGAATTACTTTAAAGCATTAAAGAGATTTATACAATATATATCATATATAATAATTTCTTGAAAACTTATAAAATAATTTTATGAACAGTAAAATTAATGAACTAATGATTGAAAAAAAAATATTTCGTGGGAAAAAATAATTAGTGAACACGTCACCATTTTTCTCAGAAAACATATTTCTAAAAGTGCAGTTTACTTGAAATTTTTACTAGGTGTTGTTAACAAACAAAGACATACATATATGAAAAGATAACTAATATAATTAGTTTACAAATAAAGTTATGTGTAATAAAATAAAATGACACAGGAAACTTGACACTTGAACAAATGGAGGTGTAGAAAGGCAGTGAAAGAGTAGACAGCAACTGAAATTTCTCAGTATTTCTTTAGCAACCCTCTGCCCTTCATCATTGTAAATTGGTAACATCTACATTAGCTGGATTATAAAGATGAAACCAGAGTGGACATTTCAGCAAGACAAAGCATCCAAAACACAGCCAGGAAAACTCTCATATGCTGTCAGAGAAAAAAAATCAAGCTGTAGAATGGCACGGCCAATCACCTGACTTGAATCCAATAAAAAATACAAAATAAATATCAGTTTATTGACTTTGAAAATATCAAGTCAACAACACATTTAGAAATACATTATGATAGATAGATAACCCCCCCCCCCCCCCCCATTTATTTTTCCCCTAATTATTTAACACATTTCTAAACATAATAGTTTTAATATCTCCTTTCTAATAACTGATTTATTTTCTCTTTGCCATGATTACAGTAAATAATATTTGACTAGATATTTTCAAGACACTTCATTTAAAGGCTTAATTAGGTCAACTAGGCAGGTTAGGATAATTAGGCAATTTATTGTATAACGATGATTTGTTCGGTAGAGTATCTGAAAAATATATAGCTTAAAGGGGCTAATAATATTGACCTTAAAATGGTGTTTAAAAAATTTAAATCTGCTTTTATCCAGAAGAAAAGACTTTCTCCAGAAGAAAAATATATTATCAGACATACTATAAAAATTTTCCTGCTCTGTTAAACATAATTTGGGAAATATTTAAAAAAAGAAAAAAATTAATAATAATAATAGTTTTGACTTCAACTGTAGATATATCTATCTTTATAAATATCTTTAAAATATATAATTATTATCAATATTAAACACTTAATGTTATTTAATTTGAGTTTAATGTAAAAATATTTTTTATTGTTGAGTTAATAAATTTATATAATTTAAATTAATAAATGAGTTAATACATTAAACATCCTATAAATGACTTAATAAAATGTGATTGTTTAATGCAGCAAAATACAGCACATTTTCTATTAATTTTGTCCTTTTGCTTTCTAAATGCTCAGTGGAAATCAGAAGACTCATATTTTTTATTTAATTATTTTATTTATGGCTGTGGTTTTTAAATGTAATGTCACATTAAAGCTATCAGGGCCTGGAAATAGGAACTTGACTTGAGATTGAAGATGACTACTGGAGTGCAGTATTAGACCACGTACGCATCTCTACTTCATGCGCTAGACTCCGTTTTACACAGTTTAAAACGATTCACAGAGCTCATCTCTCAAATGCCAAACTTTCTAAAATATATCCCGATGTTTCAGATATTGGTAATAAATGTAAACTTTCACCATGTAATCTTAGTCATATGTTTGTGTTTTGTCTTAAGTTGCAAAAGTATTGGATTACATTCTTTAAAATTGTTTTAGATAGTTTTGGGTCAAGTTAGCTGTTTGCCCTTTGATCGTGATCTTTGGTGTTCCCTCTCAGTGTCAGCCTTCAAACCGGAGACACGATGACATTGAGGCATTTGCATGTCTTCTTGCTAGGTGCAGAATACTGTTGTCTTAGACCACCCCGCAACCCCCCTCTATTTCATTGTGGCTCAAAGATTTGTGTTCTTTTTTTAAAACTTAAGAGAATTCAATATAAAATTAGAGGTAGGGGAGAACAGTTTTATGAAAAATGACAACAATTTATTGCATTCTTTAATGATTTAAAAACCTTAAATGTGGATTGAGTGAAGGTATATGTGTTTGTAAGTATATATATATATATATATATATATATATATATATATATGTGGTTTGTGGTTGTTGTAAAATGTAAAATGCTATTATAAAGCATATAAATGCATGACAAAAATGTCAAGCGAATTGCTTAAAGAATTTCTTGGTCAAACATTTCTTTCAATGTGTTTGTAGGTTTGAAGACGTATCTGATCTCGGGGCGGAAGCTGGGCTCTCAGTGTGGATGTTCACAGCTCAGTTTGGGCCAAGAATTTGGTGAGACGTTAAGTCCATCCTCAAATACACACACTCCAGATCACACACACTGCGTCATTGCAGAACCACAATCGCATGGCAAGGTATGTCTTCTCAACACACACATGAGTAGTTTTTCTGTGACATAATGTGACAAACTGACATACTTATTTTGTGTCTCTGCAGGCTGGGTTTATGCCCTGTAGCATCTCCATAGACGTCGTTGACAATCCAACAACAGATGAGGCAACTCAAAATGGCTGCCAGGATGAACATCGAGCCAACAGCAGCAAGGTACATGATGAACCAAACTAACTGCTATGAACAACATGGTGTACTCCATTTCAACATGTACAACAGTGTACTCCATTTTAACCAAAGGTGCTACTTAGACTTGTGTGCAAAACTGTAATACCAAAAAGTAAAAAAGAACAAAATCATCACTCCCTGATAAACTGGAGCCAAATATCAAAAAGAAATGTAATTTGCTGCAGTAGAAGCCAATGTAGGCCGTTTTTTTAATATAATAATTTACATTTAAATTGCACCTCAGAAGACGAAATGCAATGAACGTGCGGTAGCTTTTGGAGACTTTTTTTAGGGAGTGCAGATGCTTAATTCAGTTCTGGAAGCAATAATACTGAACCACTGTGATGATGGACTTTAGCTGATAGATTTTAGAGTGACAAACAACATTTCATATGTTTTACAATGTGTTTGGTCCACTTGTTTGTCCAAAAATGCCACATCTTGGTGTTTCCATTAAGCATTATTTATGAGATATTCCAAAATGAACTTAAAAATAGGTGGATAGAAAGATAGCTATTAATAAGTTCGTTTTGTGTAAAATAAATACATAAATTATGCAGTTGAGGAATTCAGATGCAAAAACCTCTAAAAGCCATCTGAGGGTGCTTTCACACCTGTGGGTCTATTCTCTCGTTCCGAAACTAGGGGCCCTATCATACACCCGGCGCAATGTGGCGCAAGTCGCGGCGCAATAGTCTTTTGGTAGTTTCAGCTTGGCGCAAGAGTTGTTTTGAGGCATTGCGCTACACTGTTTAAATAGCAAATGCATTAGCGCTCAGATGTGCGCCTATAGGCGTGCTGGTCTAAAAAGGAAGGCGTTCTGAGGCGGACCGCTGGCGTGTTGCTATTTTGAGAAACTATAATAGATTTTTCATTAGACCAAAACAAACCCGGTCTAAACTCCGGCACAGATTTGCGCCTCGCTTACGCACTGCTTAATACGCACAAGAGAGCAATAGGCAAATATCTTTACATTTGAAAAAATGTAAATATTAAGGATATATATAGGATATAAAAAGAATAGATATAGGATATAAATATAAAGGATTAAAATATTTCTAAACATTATTTTCTAGCCTACATAAATATGAAAAATCCCTGCTTTTATGTCTTCTTCATCTCGGGAGGCTTTTTTAGTTCATTCATATCAATTTAATTTTGTATAATGTTATTATTATTAGCAATATTATTTATTATATCCATATTTTTATTTGTTTTATTAAAAACAAGCTTAGATTTGCCCACCTTTCAGGGTTTTGACCATATGGGGCACAGCATGTGTTTTAGGATATAACTCAGGTTTTTGAGCACACTTCGTTTTTATTGTTCATTTATTTAGAACTGAATTTAGATATAGTTTTGAAACAAATATTTGCAAACGAAATTAATTATTTATGGACTAATTGATGTCTGTGCGTAAAGGTTTTCCTATCCAAGAGCGAATGTGAAAGTATTTACTTTATCTCTCATTCTCACGCAGCAGATGCTCTGTTTAACAGTTTTCTGTAAAAAAAAAACAGTTAACTGTTTGCTAGTGAAATGCTCAGATTTTCCACTTAGACTTGCTTTACATCCTGTAAATAGCGAATGCGCTTATGACACGACGCAGCTGGCTCTTAAAGGGAATGGGAGATGAGAATCTAATTGGTTTATTCTCAAAACACACCTATAACTCATTAAGAAAATAAACTCAACCCTTTTAGACCATGTGCCATGGCGCAAAGCGGATTTTCCCGTCCTTAAATTAGCAAAAATGCGTTCTGACACGCCCTGAAAGCGTTTGCGCCCTGCGTTTTGCGCTCTGCGCATGGACCATCAAAATAGAGCCCCTAGGATTCAAATTGTTACAATGTTGCTTTTTTTTCTTGGTGCGGTTTGCTTTCATACAGCAAAGTTTCTAAACGGACCAAAAGAGCTAAAACAAGTCACGTGTGAGTAAACTCTCTTCACATTGGTCAGAGTTACACAGTTTATTTTGATTAGTCTCGCTCTGCTGTCATGTCCTTATTTTAATTCATGACGATGATCAATAAGACATTATAAGCGAAAAGCTGCGCTTTCATTTTGAATGGTGACATCCACAGACGTCGTCACCAAATATAAATCAGAGGTAAGACTTTCTCATACAACTGACTTATGCATTATAGGCTTTACATTATAGAGAGAAATAACAGATAAATCAATAGTGCTGTTTGTTTGGTCAATTTTCGACAAACGGATAAACAGGTCGCGGTAATAGTTTAGCATGGTTTCACTTTCGTATTTGACATGAAATGCACATTTACTGGAAGGAATGACATCCCGCTCTACTCGTAATTCTCTCTTCATATAGCCGTATATATGCCTATTACATATCCATAAAACACTGTGATACAGCCTGGTCTGGATAGTATTGCTTTCTCACTTCAATCGATCAGCTCCAGAGTTTGTTTCAATTGAGCCGAGACCACCTCATTCAGGCGATCTTGGACCGATTGTTTTGGCGCGGATCCTGGATTCACAAATGCCAAAATTGGAACAGTTTCCGGAATAAAAGTCTAGGTGTGAAAGCACCCTGAAATTTTCTTCTAAAATTAGCATTTTCATCAGGCTCCTGTGTGTGGGTTTAGTAATTTTGCTTTTATGGCAAAGAATATGTTTTTTTCATGGTCTTTTAAATAAAACAACTCAACATAAACGCAGGGCTCTGAGAAATAATGCTCATTTTTGATAGAACTGTCAGATGGAATTTAGACGCTGTGTTGGGCGCCTTCTTTTAAAAAGTAATTATTTATAGTTACTTTCACAAATAGTAACTGAGTTACATAATTATAAAAGTAATTGATAACCAGAGAAAGTAACTACTGTGTTACTTAAAAAAAAATCATGCTAATTCATGCTAAAACATGCTAATAACATGCCAGTTCATGCTAGAAACATGTTAACAACATGCTAATTCATGCTAGTTATATGCTAATTCATGTTGAAATCATGCTAACAACATGGTGAATCTTGCTAGAATCATGCTAATTACATGCTAATTTGTTAGAATTGTGTTTATTCATGTTAGAATCATGCTAATTCATGCTAGAATCATAACAACATGCCAATTCATGCTAGAATTATGCTAACAACAGTGCTTAATCATGCTAGTTGTATGATAATTCATGTTGAAATCATGTTAGAATCCTGCTAATTCATGCTAGACTCACGATAATAACATGCTAATTTGGTTGAATCATGTTTATTCATGCTAGAATCATGCTAATTCATGCTAGAATCATGCTAACAACATGTTTATTTGTGTTAGAATCATGTTAGTTCATGCTAGAATCGAGATAGCATGTTTAGTCATGCTAAAATAATGCTAGTTTCATGCTAGTATTATGCTGTTACCAACCACAGACACAAGGGGCAACTTTAAAGCTTTTTACTCACTTGTGTCAATCTTTAAAGTGGTTACATTGCTGACTGCAGGGGTCCTAAACATTATTTTAGCCAACCTGATACTTTTTTAAACTAAATAAACTACTTCCAACAGGCTTTCTTAAGCCACCATAAAGTTTGTCCTCAAACTTTAAAATCTAGTTAACCCAGTTAAGTCTTTAAATGTCACTTTAAGCTGAGAACTAGTATCTTGAAAAATATCTAGCAAAATATTGTGTACTGTCAGCATGGCAAAGATCAAATAAATCAGTTATTAGAAATGGGTTATTGAAACTATTATGTTTAGAAATGTGTTAAATTCCTATCTGCTAAACAGAAGTTGGGGATAAAAATAACTTTATATAAAAAAGGCAAAGTGTACAGCAATCATCTTGGATTAATTGAGCAGGCTAAACTCTTCGGCAAGATATTCCTGTTCACCTAAATCTCTAAAAGAAAGAGTCTTTTGAGGTTGAGTTCTGTTTCTCTGCACAGTTTCCCGCTGGTCGTAGTCCTAAAACCCTGAACGGGCTGTTGAGTCCTCTGTGTGAGGAGCGGGTGGGAGTCAGCCAGTCGTCTTTGTGTGACAAACTCCAGGAGAAAGACCGCAGCTGGGCCGGAAGTCTGGCTGCAGAAGGCAAGGACCACTCGGCAATCCTTCCGCTGCGCTCCAAAAACTTCCGGGAGAAAAGCGACGCACACTTTGTGGAGGTGATAAAGGAAGACAGGTGAGCGAGAGGAGATTCATTCAAACATTTTTTTTTTAATGTAATTCAGTGTTTCATTTACGTTCTTCTGCATTTTGTTTGTTAGTCTGATGAAGGATTACTTCTTCAAGCCACCCATTAACAAACTGAGTCTGAACTTCCTGGAAAAGTCTCTGGAGTCTGCTTACCGCACCAGCTATCATGAGCAGGTACAACTATTCAATTCAATTCATGTTTATTTCTATAGCGCATTTACCATGTAGATTGTGTCAAAGCAGCTTAAGTTCTAGTAGATTGAAACTGTGTCAGTACAGTTTCCAGAGCTGAAGTTCAGTTTAGTTCGGTTCAGTGTGGTTTAAATTTCACTGCTGAAAGCCCAAACACTAAAGAACAAATCCATCGATGCGCAGCTCCACAATTCCCAAACCAAGAAAGCCAGTGGTGACTGGGGTGAGGAACAAACTTTACCAATTGACCGAAGTGAAGGAAAAAAACTAGGGTTATTATATTTACTTTTAAATGACCATTATTTAATTATTATCTTTCACTATTATTGTTATTATTATTATTATTACTAACATTTAATATTTCAGTACTTCTAATAATAATGTACATCTACTGTAGGTGACTGGTATTAAAGATTAACACCCGTTAGGCTTATTAGGATTATTTTGCTTTATTTTGCTAAAACAACAGCATGGATGTACTTTATCCTGCTTATTAAACTGCTGCTCGCCACACAATGTAAAAATTTGTGTCGTAATAGGTTATTAAATCTTTAAGTAATCACAACGCTGACAGAAATTAAAATGACTGAGTGAAGCATAAACTAACCTAACCACAAAATGGCACCAAGGGTGGGGACACATGAGCAATGGCCGATTTGGGCGTGAGCAATATGGGTGAATCAGGGAGACAAAAAAAACATGTCTCAGTAAGCTTTGAGATACGATTTACTTGTATTAAAATTTATTAATTTAGAGTGATATTCTCAGAATAAAGACGTTAGGGGCCATTCGCATATGGCATCTTTTGCACGTGCAGGTTTGTTATTGTTATTGTCTGTTTGCAACCGAAACTACGCTAGTGAAAGCAAACTGATGCATGGGCACAGAAAACCATTCCTGCGTGCCTCCTGCTCCTCGTGTGAATTCCGGTTTTTTACATGCACGCCGATAAAATATGCGATGTGAAACCGGAGTAACAGACTTTTTAACACACGGAGTAACACACAGTGAGTTTTGCAAGCTGACAAAACTGAAGTTTATATAATATGATGATAATCTTATTTTGACTGAGCATGGCTATAAAGCATAAAGGAGGAATGTTGGAGGGATAACGTGGGAGTTAAGACTTAATAACGTTATTCTCGGCCATTAGTCAGGTGTAAGAGGAACAGATTATTCTATAAAACGTATAATGATTTTTTGTATGTTATAGAATTTTCATAATTAATATTCACCCAAAATATTTCTGGTCTTAGCATATCACTCCAGTTTTCCAGTTACATTTAGGATTGTTTTCTATTATTTATTAGAAAAATAATTGTATAATAATAATAATAATGTTATTATAATAATTGTATTTATAACAAATGTAAATATTTTTAATAATCTCAATTGTGGGTTTGTCCATATTTTACCCAAAGTTGGGTTAAAAAAAATAAACTTTTTTTTTTTTAAATGCACATGTTTAATGGTCCTGTTTTTTAACTAGATGTAACCTTGCAATTATTTATAAGCTTGGGAGGGAGTTTGAGAGGCATACAGTATATAGGGGGGTATGCTAAGGGTGTCGTTTAAGCTAAAACCGCCACTGCACATAAGCATATAAATATGAGTGTGAATGTATTCATTGACAAACATGATTCAAAGTAACCGGATTAGCGTATATTGTTAGTTTCAGAGGTTGTTATCTGGGAATAACATACCTTGGAATGTTGTTACTGACCAATCAGAATCAGGAATTGTGTAATTTATACAATAAAATCAGTGCAATTACCAAAATAAAGACTCTAATGAGCTAAAATCTGTAATAGTTTGTGAACATGAATTGTCTGAACAGGTTGTTTTTTGCAAATTGAAAATCATTTTCGTGTAGGCTGGATTTTAAACGAACAAGTTCTTTTGAGGCTCTTATTAAAACTGAGATTTTGGGCTTTTTGGCTTTAAGTCTAATGTATAGAATCAAAAATACACTCAAGTGTTTCATCAAAAATACACTCAAGTGTTTCTTTTAAGACACTCAATTTGTCTGTGAGTTTGTAGACTTAGATTCACTATTTTATTCATCTTTATTCTGAAAGTTTTTTATTGAGGGACATTGTCATCCATATTATGTCTGATGATATCCAAAATTTAATTCTACTTTCATTCATTCATTCATTTTCCTTCGCCTTAGTCCCTTTATAATGAATATTGGAAAACTTGTAATACAAAAAATATTCACCTGCAGCTTCTTGCCTTTAAAATCTGATCATCATATGAATAGGATCTCTCAGTGAGTAAATGAATCGCTTTAGTAAACCTGATTTCAAACGAACGACTCTTTTGAATCACTTCTATTCATTTAAAATGTCCATTCAACCTATTCTAGCGACTAAAATGCCCTGGAACTGTCAGGGTCAGTGATGTGTGGCCCTCTTGTGGTGTTTGAGAGTCACTGCTGCGGGTTTGATCTGCTGCGTTTCTCCATCAGGTGATGAATCATGTGCCAGTTCAGACGTTTGCGAGTCCAGTGTTCAGCTCTCTGCTGGACGTCCTGCTGTCGTGTACTGTGTTTCTGGCTCTGACCATGGCCTGTTTCCTCTACCCGCTGGTGTCCATGCAGACACCGCTGGCCGCCACACTGGGCCTGGCCATCACTGCTGCACTGCTGGAGCTCGTCTCGCTCCTTCTGTCCATTCGGTGAGTGGAAAATCATCAACATTTGGGGAGAGATTGATGTGGAGCTCAGACAGTTTATGAGAAGCAGCTTTCAGAAATCTGGGAGCTTTTCACAAATGACTTTGAATGTGTGCATATTGGGTTATTTTTGCATGTTACGTTGTTAAGCATGCTTTTTGTTTTACATTTCACCTATAAACAAATAAAAATATGCCACGTTAATAACAAGTAATAATAATTGTTGTTTGAATATATATAATAATAATTAATAATAAAAATAATAAATTAATAATTGATATATTGTTGTGCTAAAATGTAATGCACCAAAACTAAATTTACATATTAATTATTAGCATAAATAATGGTTTGGCTTTGGTATCATTATTGGTCAATTATTTTTCTAATAGCTAGTTTGTAATATTGTAATTGAATTAATAAAAATAATATAATTTATTTTAGTGCTAGGCAAAGAATAATAGCATCCAAAATAAAAGTTTGTTTTGACATTGTATTTGTGTGAGTTATATATATTTCTTATGGATATGGATGCACACACATACATAAAAACAAAACTATACAAAACAGTTTTGTTAAGCATGTATGAGCAATATCACAGTGCGATGTGGCTGTATAGAGTAGAAGGAACTATGACGTCACCTTGAAGGCTAATCGGCTGCTAGCATAAAACTCGATAAAATCGAGTGTTCAAACACTGTTCATTAAATTACACAATTTGTCCAGCTGGATAATCCTCACATCAGAATATCACTTTTAGCACTTTTTATATCTTAAATACAAACGCAAGAATTGAAAAGCTAACATTAGGCTATAAACGGACTCCAGTGCCTTCGGGGCGATCGCCTGTGACGTCAGCAACCCAGCCAACGACAACTTTTCATGCTTATTTTTAGAAATATGGTCCATACTCTGTCGGATTATTATATTACAATCCGCGCTAAATATTATAAACAAACCAAAACACAAAAACACATCTGTATATAGACCTGCGTGCCTTTTGGATAGTTTTTTTACATGGGAAATACATTTTGTTTTAGTTTATAGTTGTAAAGGTTTTAAAACTATGTATCAATGCGCCTACGTAGTATTATCCTTAGACATATTTAAATAAGTGTCTCGCACGTGTGCACACAGCCCTCTTACCTTAGTAACAGACGATAAAAATGAGATGTGAAGGACAAGTCTATATGCCTGCAAGCTCCATCATAGACACAGAACAACATTCAATACTCTTTTTTTTTTTTTTTTTTTTGTCACGAAGTACAACGAAAAACAGCCCATATATTCACATCTGCTTTAAATTTTAAGGAGTGTAAATGTTGTAGTTATGATATAGTTAAATGTGTTCTGATGAAGATAAAAAACTAAAAATCAGTTGATCACATTAAAATCACATTTAACATATGTATTTCTTACACATTTACTGCATTCACACGTTTGCATTACTGAGTGAAGGAGAGAGACAGGCTGCATTGGTAAGCAGTGTCTTCATAATATTGTTTCATTAAAATAAATGATCAATGAATCTGTCTTGACGGCAGGGCTGGACTGGGGCAAAAAATCGGCCCTGGCATTTTGGGCCATAGCGGCCCACTAAATTCAATCAAAATGCTATCTATCTATGCACGTCCAATATTTTTATCAACTCATATTCTATAAAACACAAAAGCCATATATATGAAATAAATAAATAAATACAAACTTTAATCTTAATTTAATTTCTGTATACTGTCCATAAAGATATTTGTTGAGTTCTAAAAAATACACTATTCATTCATTTATTTTTCTTCGCATAAGTCCCTTATTTATCAGGGGTTGCCGCAGTGGAATGAACTGCCAACTATTCCAGCATGTTTTATGCAGCAGATGCCTTTCCAGCCACAACCCTCATTCACACACACTCATACACTACAGACAATTTAGCTTATTCAATACACTATTCACTCAGCCTATATTCAATAATAAACATAACAAAAACTGCCTGCTAATGCATAGGCAAATCTTCAAAGGGAACAGTGTACTTTATAACCTCATTCACCTCATCCTGCTTGCTGTTTCACTATCTAAACAATGAAAACACAATATAAGTCAAATTTGTTTCATTTTGATATTATGATTAACAGACACCAAACAGCCTCGTGTAGCTGCATATTTATATGACCATCATCTTCACTCTGCATATTTATAACAAAACAGGGCTTAAATATAACTGTCTCCTTTCATTTCCATTGAAAAGAATGAACTTTACCCTGTCTCTTTTGCAGAATATCAGTTTTAATAATCAATAATGGCCATTATAACAGTATAACGTACATTAAATTTAAACGATAAAGGTAAGCAATCAGTCAATGTGCAGAATCAGTGAATGTGGTTACATAAATTAATATATTAGCTTATCTTCGCACTCAGCCAAAACAGTTAACTGAGAACAAGTGATTCAAAAGACATAAGAATTGTTAGATAGAGACAACAAGATGAATATCACGTTTAACAACTATAGTGAGATCAGATCCAGCAGATGAACTGTCTGACATGCACTATACTCTCACCTGGGGTTTATGCTCACCTGCTGAACTACTGGCTGAAGGTCTTGGCAGAGAGTGTGTGGTCACGTGATTTGCGCTTTTAGCCGTGTACTAGAATGAACAGAGAACTTTTCAGAATCGCTAAATGAAACGCCGGTGTATTTCCCGCGATTTCTCTGCGCCTCCCTTGCGTTTCTTCTCTCTGACTCTCGACTATTTTGACAAATACACACAGACGACGCACACTCACACGGAGTCCAAAATAGGAGTTTGTAATTGGGCCAGCCCAATGTCAATCAAGAAAAGAGCGAATGGGCTGCAGAGTGTCACATGGGCAGAAAAAGGCAGAAATAAACGATAGGCTGCTAAGCCTTTTATGGGCCGATCAGATCATAAGACGATGATCAGCCCGGCCCAAAAAGTAGGGAAAGGGAAAGTGCACGGTTTGCCAGATGGCCAGTCCGCCCCTGCTTGACGGTCTCTACAAGTGAAGGTATTATCTACATGCAATATGAACTCCCAGTTAGAAAAATACTACAAACTATAAAATGCTATTAATGAACATACTTAAATAACAGACAAATGTCCAACATAAGCGAGCTGTGTTCCAGACCAGTTCAGCTCGATGATGTATAATGTATTAAAAGGTTTATACAACAGTTTGACTGCATAAATGTGTATATAAAAAAGAAAATTAAACAGGGAATCTCAAAAATCTATTTGTATGAGGAACTGTTTTCTTTCGCCATTCATTCACATGTGCAGCTGATGACCAGAACAGCAGAATCTGTTACTAATTCACAACCGTCACTTTAGAGCTAGTATTTGAATGTTTCTTTGGTGTGATGACAAAACAGAGGATTTTACTGACATTTAAAGATTATAAGGCTGAACGGCAAGAAATGCCATCAGTCTACAGAGATTTTCCAATATTTCTCTGTTACAATCGAGATATCACAATAATTAACCCCCAAAAAAGCCAAAGCAAATACTACCAGTTTCTGTGGTATAAATACAGCACTACAAAATACAAAAGAGAGAGATCGACTCAAAATGTCACTTATCTGATTTGTAATGATTTCTTGAGTTGTATTTTGAAACTTGTGTTGAGAAAATGCAGATTTTTCTCCCTCTTAGGACTTATTATGCGGTTTCTGTCGCCATCTTGTGGCGGAACTTCAACCATCACTTTCTTTGGTCTGCTCAAACAGGCTGATGGTGGATGATGTACTGAATCTCCAAAGTTATAAATATTTTAAAATAGGCTTTATCCTTATAAATAAACTGCATATTTGCAATCTAAATAATACATTCTCGACTAAAAAAACCTCCAAAGTTAGGGCTGTAACGATACACCAAACCCACGATTCGGTTCGTATCACGATTTTTGACCCACGATTCGATTCGTATCACGATTTTTTTATTTTATTTTTTTCGTGTGGGGTGAAAAAAAAAAAAAGATTTTTAAAACTATTTTTAATTAAATAACATTTGAAAAATCTTTATAAACTAAACATCAAAGAACAATATTAACTATGCAAATTATTAACAATATAAATAGCCATATATAAAATAAATAAATAGCCAAAGCTATATCACTTCTGTTTTCTTTGTAACAAAATACTGTTGAAAAACCAAACTAAACTCCATTGTTTAGATGGTTCAAGCATGTTGAAAATTATTTTTCAATCAAGTTCTCTTGCATAGAAAAAGTAAATTAAATAGCTATGCTCATTTCGTTAATTTTGCTAACCGACAACCACCGCTCATTAATCGGTTATTAACGGTTAACTGGTCAGATTACTATTAATTTTATATTAAACAAATTGACGTGTCTATTTTGTGTATGACACATTAAATATTACATTTTAAAATACTGATTTATTTTTATATATTAATAGCGGAACAGAACAACAGAGCATCTTCACGCACCTGCAGTGTTTAGCACAGAAGAGCAGAATAATCTAAATAAAATGAATAAAATAAATAGGACTGCCCTAAATTATTTTCACTTAAATAATTAATTTATTTTACAAAACGAAAATACTGACTGATTCTTTTTAATAACCGGCATAGGCTTTTTTTCCAATCATATGTTTATTTCTTCCGTCAAATAAAAATCGCAGACTTCCTCTAATTGCTTGCTCCACGGAAAATATGCATTTATTTAATGCCCCGCTGTTATTATTATAATCACAAAACCTTTTACATTTTAATAGAAATCCTTATTTTAAAGATTATGTCCTGATATAGCCGGTTTCCTCTCTCTCCCTCGCAGTTCAAGTGCGCGCACTGCATGATGAAAAGACAACAACACGCGCGCATATGTAGACTTTTTGTAAACAGTTTGTTTAAATATGATATTGCATTAATCTGTGTACATGCTTTAAGCTGTAAAATAAAAAGTAAAGCCTATTTGTTGCGTTTATTACGCAGATCCAGGTCAACATAAGCGCTGGTTTAGTATCAACAGGTCTGTATCAAACAGCAATATTCTTCTTCCATTTTGCTTCTTTGGCAAATGTGTCTGTAGGCACGGGTTATACGTTATCATCCCGCAAATTAAGTATGCCTTGCAGTTAAACAAGTGGCCGAAAACAAGGCGCACCTCACTGCCTTTATGTTGACAAGGAAAAAAGAAGAGGCTCTGTCCTCTTATGAAATGACTGAATCAGCTGGGTATCAATTGTGCAAAAGTGTTGCTGTCTGTGTTGTTACAATTGTAATATTTAATACTATTGTGATATTAAAGATTTGTATATTCATACAGCTCTGGATAACTTAAAACAACGATTAGACCATCAGAGTGGTGTTAATGCGTCCTGAAGTAAAGCGAAACGGCTATAAACTCCAGCAAGATAGAGTGATTATATGCAGAGCCATATACCTTTATCTCTAAATAAAGTATAACTATAGAAACTGTGTTCATCTTAACTTAAAGCTTCGTCGTGTTTTCTGACCTCACGCACCTGTCAGTCAGCACTCCCAAATGTTCAAACAGAAAGCGCACAGCACGGTTACAGAAAAGTTTGGCTGTTACCTGACATCTGGTGAACGCCCATCCCTCTCTGCGCAGCCACATTAACGGTGTGAGCAAATCAACGTATATGCGCTGAAAATCCGGCCGCTTTGACAGCATTGGCAATGTTTCTGGCGTTGTCGGTTGTCAAGCGGGGTTAATTTGGTTTTGTTTTTGATATTCTTGACACATTCAGACGGCCCCTTACTAAGAGCTCCGTGCGAGCTCTCCCGGCTAAATATTGCGAGGGCTTAAACGGAGCAGTGCTTGTAATGTCGAACGAAAAAAAGTGTTAATTAGCTCAACTTTTGCAGGCACGCGTGACGTTATTGGAAAGGTATCACGGGACGGGTGTGTCGCGATTCTTCCTTATTACACCGCGACACAGGATCGTAGATCTGAGTGTCGCGATTTCGATTTTATATCGTGTATCGTTACAGCCCTATCCAAAGTACATTATTTTGTCTTACAGCAGTGATATTTGTAAAACTGTAGAGTGCCCTCTGCTTGTTGCTGTATGTAGGCGGAGTAATATGAAAGGGTAAAGGGTGAAGAGGCTGTACAAGTGCTGTTATTGTAGAATATCACACGGCTATCAGCCAATCAAATTCAAGAACCAGACAGAACTGTTGTGTACATAATGTCGTACAAACTCATAACACTTTTTTTTTCCAAAACAAACTTTTATTTTATCATGCGATTAGTTTAAGTCCAGCACCAGTTTATATATAAACTCTATAGTTGTTATATCTTATCATTTTAATAATGTTTATGCTAATTAAAATTATAATGCAAATGTTTATTTATATTTTATATCAAATATAAATGATATTTATTTTAATTAGACTAATTACTAAAATAATTATTTTGGGTTTTAACATTATTTAACTGTTAATGGAATCTGTGGGTGTGTTTGTGCATATATAATATAATATAATATAATATAATATAATATAATATAATATACAGTGAACATTATATTAATCACATTTGATTAAAGTGAATTTAAATAATATTGTAATCTTATTTATTATTAAGCTAATAATTACATTTGTATAGAAATTATTTGTGTGAATGATTCATTCATTTGATAAATGTTGCCTTTAATGCTCAGTTAATAATTGTTTTTATACTTAATGGTAATTCAGTATTTATTATAATAAAGCTAGTTTTACTTAAATCAGTGCATATGCACCTGTGTTGACCTCTGGCTCCCCGTCCTGCAGTATGATCTTCTGTCTGGATGATGTGCAGAACTGCAGTCGCATTCTGCTGAAGCTGGTTTCGGGTTGGGTGCCACGGCATGTGATCGGGGCAGTGCTCGTGTCACTTCCTGCTGTGTCAGTTTTCTCCCACCTAGCCTACAGTCTGCAGCTGCCAATCCAGGTAATTGATGATGTTCAGTTGAAGTCAGAATTATTAGCCCCCCTTTGATTTTTTTTTTCTTTTTTAAATATTTCTCAAATTATGTTTAACAGGTTCAGAAAATTTTTACAGTATGTCTGATCATATTTTTTCTTCTGGAGAAAGTCTTATTTGTTTAATTTCAGCTAGAATAAAAGCAGTTTTTAATTTTTTAAACACCATTTTAAGGACAAAATTATTAACCCCTTTTGGCTAATTTTTTTTAAATCATCTACAGAACAAATCATCATTATACAATAACTTGCCTAAACACCCTAACCTGCCTAGTTAACCTAGTTAACCTGTATAAGGATTTAAATGTCAGTTTAAACTCTATAAAAGTGTCTTAAAATATTTAGTCAAATATTATTTACTTTCATCATGACAAAGATAAAATAAAACAATTATGAGAGATGAATTATTAAAACTTTTATGACTTATATGTGTTGAAGAAATCTTCTCTCCGTTAAACAGAAATTGAGGAAAAAAATAAACAGGGGGGCTAAAAATTCTGACTTCAACTGTATATGAAGAACCTTTTTTTTTACCAGAAGTGTAAATTATCTAGAATAAATATTTTGAAAGGTGACATTGTACAAATATGTTTAGTTTATCTATATCATACTCATACTAAAGACCTGGTAACTACAAGAAGAGTTATGAACATTTAAGCTGAAAAGCATACCCTACTACGAAATTAAGCAGCAGACCATGTTTTATATGTCGCTGAACATGTACGCATGCCAAAGCCCTAGTTTGAAATTAGTTTAAATGGTGTTTTTTTCCCCTCTTCTGGCTCTGTAGGTGACCATGTTCCTGTGCTGCGCTCTCATTATTGCCATTATCCAGTACTGTACCTTCTGCCAGCTGAGTTTCTGGATGCGTTCGGCTCTGGCCACTGTTGTTGGTTTGTCTTTGCTCATTCTGCTCTACAGCGCCAGCATTAGGACCAGGTCAGACATCCTCCGCTTTTCTCATTGGTGTAAACTTGTAGTGTTTGAATTCATGACATGTAAACTGTGTTGTAGTTTTGTGTTTTGTTCTGACTGTTCATGATGATACTTGTCCACCGATGCTGAAGAAATGCGCCAAAAATAACACAGGTGTGTCTGGGTTTGTTCACTGTGAATGTTTTTAGCTCATGGTGAATAGAAGAACAACAATGAGAACAACAATGAGTGTAATTCTTTGCATTGTGGTCAATCCAATGACTGTAAAAAAAATATCGATGACGCAACAGCTTCTTTTCCTATTGAACGCTTTGGATGCAAACCGCCTGTTTACATGCACAAACTGTCGCAAAACACTGCTGAAACGCTTGTTTTGGAGCCTGGGCCAGTGGCGTTGTGAGAGGGGGGCTTTGGGAGCTTAAGCCCCTGATGTATTGGCAAAAGCCCCTGATCTTTTGGAATATGTTGCACTTAAAAAAAAAGGTTGTATAACATTTATTTTGTTATCGAAGTCCTTTAAATTAGCACATACATCACGCGCTCTGCTTAACGCAGCGTTTGTGTCATGTAATTAAATAGTCAGCTGTTCAGCAGTACCTGTTTCTACCGGCAGGTGAGAGTGGCACTGTTGTCAGTGTGAAAAAATCTCGTCATCATAATTCATTCATTATTTTGAGGAGCTGATGCTGATGAGGTAATAATACAACAGTTTCGCTAAACTGAATAGTTCTAACTACTGATGAAGCTTAATATTTGTTTTCACAGTATAAAATGTGTGTAATTTTGATGAAATAACATAACTGTAATCAATAAAATGTGCATCATATCAATGTAAATACATGCAAATTAGTCGGAAAAACGTAAATTGTACCAGCTTTCTGCATATTGTTACAACCTCTTTGATGTTAGTCTAGGGTAAAAGTAATAACATTTAAGAGGTGTGGTACCTTTACAAGATGATGGGTGAAAACAAAAGACACAATCAACAAAACTGCCAACAAAAGTGATTTAATGTACAAAAAAGTGAAATCAGAATAATGCCCAAATATATATACACTCAGAAAAATATTTACAATAATAAAGTAACAAATTAAACAAAGTATCAAACAAAATTAGGTCAACTCAAGAGTAAGGGGACGCCAGTGAAGCCAAATCAAAGAAATAAATATAACAAAACAATTCTAACTCATAAGCAAAACCCTTACCTCACTAGAACATGAAAAGAAAAAGAAAAGAAAAATCTTCAGCGCCGAGCGCCGTAAACTTACCTATTCTGAACTAAAAACAAAACAAATACATAAGTGGCATTCACTTTCTTACCTGGTGTTTTAAACAATGGATTGACTATGTGTATGTAAGATGGAAGTCGTACGACATCTTCCCTGTCCGCCTTACTCTGAGGACAAAGTCAACTCTCAATGATCTGTTTTAGGTTTGAGCAGGTAAGAGTTGTGCCAAAGTAACAAACAAACAATCGAATATAAATGTAAAGAAATCACAATCTCGTTCAAAAATGGGCAGAAAATATACTAAATAATTTTATCCAAGCGAAAGTTAAGCAAAATTAACGAATAACAAAATCATGTAGTCAAAAATACACAAAAACCGGATCAAAGGAAAAGCGCGCTGTCATCCGCTCTCCCTAGCGTCCTTATATGTGACAGCGCCACGTCACCCAATGATGAGTGACTGGTCTCCTGACCAATCAGATTCCGCTAAGGCGGACCTAAACGATATGACAGGTAGAGATGGGGAGAGAGAAAGAGAGGGAGAGAGAAAAAGAGAGAGAGAACGGGACGCAAAAATTCCACCAATATACGACAACCGTTACAATATGATATAGATATCTAGACATATTTATCTAGATATAATATAGCCAGGCACATCTGTTTCTGTAATAGTTAAATCACAGTGAGTTAATGCATCTTGCTTATTATTTTATGGCTTCTATTATAACATGCTACATCAGTTAGCACCGAATAATAAATCGACTTTATTCTTATGAAAAATAACTAAGATGGCTGCAAGAACACATATAAACCATTTATTGTGGCAGTCATGTAAATGATCAGTTAGAGCCTTTTTATGTTTATTCAGATCTTATTTTTATTCCCTTTATCCCTTTCGACCCTAGCAACGCCCCTGGCCTGGGCATACACAAAATGGACTACCAGATGGAGCCAGTAACATATAAACATTACATACATTTTTAGAAAGTATTTTATTTTTAATTAACAATTAACAGGACCAAAAATATACACATAATGGACAGCTGTTTGCCATGTGGGAAAAATCGTGTGGTTATATTAGCAAAAGATACAGCAATGTTGCTAAATATCAACAGGATATTTACATCTCCCAGCACTATATAAAATAATCCTTATCAATTTGTACAATAAACTCTGCAGTGTTGCGTTAAACTCACCTGTTTACTGTTTAATGGACAATTGCGTTAACTCAGCTGCTGTAACCTAGAGGAGAGAAGAAAATACTAATGAACCTAATTTTAAAGGGTGGAATTGATAACAGATTTTGGATAAATGTTTGTCCTTAGTTGCAGTATCACCTATCCAAACATGGAAACAGCACATACATAAACATTAGCTACACAAATTATATGATCAATTAGTCCTGACAGCATGTTTTTAGGTCATTTTAACTTACTGAACTAAGTTAATCATGTTCTATCTTAGTTTTATAAGTTATGCAAGCTGTTTTAAGTCAGTTTAACATTATATAAGTTCAATGAACAATTGACATTCAATTTCACAGTGTAGTAAAGTTTTCAAATAGCCTATTTCTAATTTTAAAATAAAAAGTTGCAATTAACTATAGTTTATTTTCTTTACATGGGCATTATGTTGTTTATTTATGTATTAAATAAAATGTTTCAAGTGTTAAATTAATGTTTATGTGCCTGACTTAACCTTAACAAACAAATCTGGAAATATGATCCACTTACATTGTATTTACAGAATTTTAACAAATTACAATTTGTAAACCAGTGTGAAAATCAGGCCACATCTAATTGTGAGATAATGTTTGACTAAGCCATTCACTTCACTGTGATTTCAGTTGTTGACATTGTTTTACTCAGTTAATATTAAATACATATATTATTATTATCATTATTTTCACAGACTGTTTTTTATTTTATATAGAAAACAGTAAAATTACAAAAAAAAATGACTCCAGCTAGATTTTCACAGACTGGGTCACTGTCATTACAATATCTGCTTCGGAAGAGACTTGGGGTATGAAGAGCTGTCTGACTGCTTTGATTTTTGCGAGCTCTGTCATTGCAGGAATGCTGCTCTCCATAGGCATGTTTTCCCACAGACTACCATGAGCCACAGAGAACGCTCTCCGACAAATCTTGCAGTTGGCTTAATAACAATTTCTAATACTCTGCAGCCAGATATCTGTTTTCTCCCTCTCTCTGTGGTACTTTTGCAGTCGCTTGCGTTTAAACTCTGAAACTTTAAGACACGGATCGTTACCTGGAGAAGCATCCATACTCTCTGTCAAGACCATAGGTCAATACTTGATCTGCTTAGAAGACCAGCCCTCTTCACTGGACAAAGACCAATCAAACTAACGATGACGTCAATTAGTACCCAATCAAAAGTAGGAAATGAGGCATATTCAGTAAATGCGTGTGGGATGATATGCATGAAAAGCTATACTTAAAAAAAATCATAAAAATATGGGACAAAACCTGATGATTCCGTATTTCAAGGGATGGGTGGCAACCCTAGAAGGTGGGTTTTATGACTTACTGTAGTCTGCCCTCAGGGGGCGATCTTACAAAGTGTCACTCAAAAGGAGGCGTGCGGCACACTTGGGTCAATGCCACAGGCCTCTACATATTGAATTGATAATGGCTGCTCTTCTCCGGTGGACATGTACATTGGCTGTCAGAATGAGACGGTTGCTTTAGAAAAATTGATTTCTGATTTATGACAACTGTTTTCTTTTGGCAGCGCCACTGATGCTTTTCCGAATTTTGGGTGAGTGTTTCTTTAACTGCTGTCAAACATATACTTGTGGAATGCCCCATTTTTTATCTGGAGAAACTTTAAATGAAGGCAATGCAGAGGCGCAGTAGTGCTGTCGCCTCACAGCAAGAAGATTGCTGGTTAGAGCCTCGGCTGGGTCAATTAGCGTTTCTGTGGGGAGTTTGCATGTTCTCCCTGCGTTCGCGTGGGTTTCTCCGGTTTCCCCTACAGTCCAAAGACATGCAGTACAGTTGAATTGGATAGGCTAAATTGTCCGTAGTGTTTGTCTGTAAATGAGTGCGTGTGAATGTTTCCCAGAGATATGTTGCGGCTGGAAGGGCAACCGCTCTGTAAAAACGTGCTGGATAAGTTGGTGGTTCATTCTGCTGTGGCGACCCCAGATTAATTAAAAGGGACTAAGAAAATGAATGAATGAATGAAACATTTTTAAATGTAAATCCTTCTGGGTGGCACGGTGGCTCAGTAGTTAGCCAGTTGGCATTTCTGTGTTAAGTTTGCATGTGGGTTTCCTCCGGGTGCTTCGGTTTTCCATACAGTCCAAAGACATGAGCTATAGGTGAATTGAATAAACTAAATTGGCCATAGTGTATGTGAGAGTGACATCCGCTGTGTAAAACGTATGCTGTATAAGTTGGCGGTTCATTCTGCTGTTGTGACCCCTGCTCAATAAAGTGACTAAGCCAAGGGAAAATGAATGAATCCTTCCAGAATTGTGCAATTTGTTATCCAAAGTAAACCTTATATATTTTTATTTACTATTATTTAGTATTATTTATTGATGTTGATGACTTTTTGTTGTATTATTTTTTACAAAAGTGATATTTATAAAATGTTGAATATAAAAACTTGCTCTGTATTTTTTTTTTGTCAAGACATAGCCCAGGGATGGGCAAACTCGGTCCTGGAGGGCCAGTGTCCTGCACAGTTTAGCTCCAACACTAATCAAACACACCTGAACAAGCTGATCAGTGTCTTCAAGATCACTTGAAATCTACAAGCAGGTGTGTTTGATTAGAGTTGGAACAAAACTCTGCAGGGACACCGGCCCTCAAGGATCAAGTTTGCCCATCAATAAACTCAAAAATCTAATCTAATCTTTAACTGCTGTCAAGAATACTATTAATAATGACAACTCTGGAGATTGATAATGTATGTGTGAGTGTGTTGATATAAAACTTATATATGGTGCAAAGGTAATTTACTTTAATGACATAAAATCTATTAGTATTATTTGAAATTCATACAAATTTATTAAACCCAATTAAAATAAAAAGTAGTGATTGTCTACCCACCCCTTTACACCTGATATCTATATATTCTTTTATATATATCCTCAGCTGAAAAGAAATAGAGGTTTAATGGGTTCAACACTGACCCTTTCTGATGGTCCAAGATAAACCTTTAGACACCTTAAAATTATTTCGCACAAACGGTTAATGACGAAAATCTCTTGTTAAAACCCTTATTTGTTTAAACTAATGGCCAGTGTTGTCAAAATATATACTTTGAATTGTTGGCCTGAGACTCTTTAGATTGCTAAATATTTTGGAGTTAAGTATTTCCCTATAAGTTGGCATGATGTGGAAATTCATCCATTCGGTTTTCTAAATGCATGTCTTTTATTTTACTCTTACTGCAAACAATTTATTCTTGTATGTTCTATTTTTTAAAATGTGTATGGCTTTCTAATGTTTTGCTTGGTAGTAATAATAATAATAACGATCGATTCAATTCAGATCTACTGTATGTCTCAATTTGGAAGGAAATATCTGTCAGAAATTCCATTTCATTGCAACTTTTAAAGGGCTCTACACACCAAAGATAATGTTTATAAAATGTATTGTGTTTATTACTACTTTAAATTCTGTGAGAATAAGCCCCTAATGCAGCTGTAACAATAACACATAAACAATATATCTGGAATTAAAAAAAAAAAAAAACCTTTCCAGCAGATAATAATAAAATTTTTTTAAAAAAGCATTCAAAGCAAATCTGGATCCAAGAGTTGGACCAATCAAAGTGGCAGATAACAAAACAAAATAGCATGTTCACAATAAACAGAATATTATTGTGTGGAGTTTTGTTACAGTTCTTATTGTTGTGAACCGACCTTGATGTTGGAATACACTACACAACTTTTGAACATAAATCTGATCAGATTTTGACTCATTTGGCAACATGTACCAATCAAATAAGGATCACTCGCCAGATTTGAAAGTTGTTCTGCAAAACGAGCTTTTTTGATGAACTCGTATAACAAATATTTGAGTTCATCAAGTTTTTTAGTATGAGCTGGGGCTGTACAATAACAATAATTGTTTCAGCAGCAATATTGCAGCAAGCGCATCTGCAATAATCACATCGCAGGAGTTACAATGTTGAGTATGAATTATAGTTAACCAGGTGCTACAAAACTGGATTTTTAGACTCACCACTAAGATTAACCATAATAAAGTGAAGGTTTTTCGTTTGCTTGTGTTTTTAAGACAGGTCTCAAACTCAAATCTTGGAGGGAATGCACAGTTTTACTCTAGCTCTAATTAGACACACCTTCTACTATGACTACTCTTGAACACCTTGATTAGTTGGATCAGTTGTATTAGAATAAGGTTGGAGCAAAACTATGCAGACCTGCGGCCCTCCATGAATTGAGTTTGAGACCTATTCTTTGAGGCCTGTGACGAAGCATTTCAAGAGGGTTTAAAGCATTTGGGATAAGAAATTATGACTTTTGGAGGCGTAGAAAGGATTAATTTGCATTTAATTATTTATACAATGAAGATGATATAGTGTTCATTTACATTTATAAAAAAATATGTATTTTTTATTGTATCATGTCTAAATATCTGCATTTCAAACCTAAAACTAGATTATTTTGCTTACCACACTGGTGGGTTATTTAGCTTGTTTTATGGAAAATCTCATTTAAATTTGAAAAAAATCTCATTTAAAAAGTTTTTTCCCACTTTCAGAAATAATATTTTCAGATATTTGTACTAGAGACACGGAACCCCTAAGTAATTTACATTTTGATTATTCAATTTCTGCACCTAAAAATATTTTAGACTCCCTAGTAAAAGTCAAATAGAGAATTCAAACCATCTGGTGAAACTTTTTATAGCAATTAATTAGTTCATTCATTTGTTTTCTTTTAGGCTTAGTCCCTTTATTCATCAGAGGTCGCCACAGCGGAATGATTCAAAGTAACGCTTTGAGCTTGTGTTATTAGTTTGGTCATGGCTGACCATTCAGAATCGAGCATTGTGTAACGTGCACAATAAAATTAGTGCAATTATAAAATAATGATTCTGATGAGCTAAAATCAAGGCAATAGTTTGTGAACTATTTAATTGTCTGAGCAGGTTCTTTTTGTGAATCGAAAACTATTTCAGTCCAGTTTGAATCTTAAACAAACAAAATTTTGCATTTTGCATTGGCATTATGACTTTGTAAACCTACACCACTCAGTCAAATCTAAAATGTCTTTTTTCTTTCTCCAGGAATATGAGTAACCAGAGTGCACAAGTGGATCTGTTAGGCGAATCGAACTCTGCGCCCACAGCGCTTGACCTGCTCGTCCTAGAGACTGTGCTCTCCTTCTTCCTTCTGCTGCTGCTAGTTTGGTTCCTCAACCGGGAGTTCGAGGTCAGCTACCGTCTGCATTACCACGGGAATGTGGAAGCCGACAAGCATCGCATCAAGATTCAGACCATGCGAGATCAAGCAGACTGGCTGCTGCGTAATATCATCCCCATCCACGTCGCGGAGCAGCTGAAGGTGAACCAGAGCTACTCTAAAAATCACGACAACGTCGGAGTCATCTTCGCAAGTATCGTCAACTTCAGCGAGTTTTACGAAGAAAGCTACGAAGGTGGGAAAGAGTGCTACCGAGTACTCAATGAACTCATTGGAGACTTCGATGAACTGCTACGTCAGCCTGCATTCTCCAATGTTGAGAAGATTAAAACCATTGGCGCCACATACATGGCAGCGTCTGGATTAAATGGGCAGCAGTGCCAAGAGCAGCCCCACCCACACGCTCACCTATGCGCCCTCTTTGACTTTGCCCTTGAAATGATGCGTGTAGTGGACGATTTTAACAAAAACATGTTGGGTTTCAAGTTTAAGCTACGAATTGGCTTCAACCACGGACCCCTGACTGCTGGTGTCATCGGCACAACAAAGCTGCTCTATGATATTTGGGGCGACACGGTCAACATCGCCAGCCGCATGGACAGCACTGGAGTTGAGTGTCGCATACAGGTCAGCGAAGAGAGCCACTGTGTGCTTAGCAGAATGAACTACGCCTTTGATTATCGCGGCACTGTAAACGTGAAAGGGAAAGGGCAAATGAGGACTTACCTGTTTCCCCAAATGAACGAGGGTGGAATGGGGTCCACACAAAGCCTGGAACAAGGCCAGGTGGACAGTTTAGAGCCTAGCACACTTGCCAATACAACAACGCCAACACACGCTGCACCACTAATCCCTCCATCCAACTCTCCCAATGCTGCCTCTATCAGTGGCCACGGTGTGCCTCAGGGTCCTGTATTAGGCCCGTCTCAGATTACTAGGGATGCTTTTTCTGTCCCTGAGCTCAAAGAAAAGGATTACGACAGTCCTTATCAAGCACCATCGCTAAGTGGTACACAACCTTCCTCAATAGCACAACTGTACGCGCCGCTAGCCAGACCAGAGACACCTTTACAAGGAGAAGAAGATGAAGCAGATGAGCGTACAAAGCTCAGGGCAGTGGAGTGAATTAAACGTCCTCCTCACCTCGGCTTACCAGCAGTCCTTCCTCAAGAACAGTTCAAATCAACGTCTTTTTAAGGGGCTTTTCTGACAACAACTGTTCCAATGAGTAGCATTAGCCTGTATTGGGCAAAAGTGTTGACAATTGGAGAAATGGGTGCGCTGAGCATCTGCTGTGTGGATCACAGTGTAGCACAGAAGGGAACGAATGGGGTTCATATTTCTGATGTTCTCAAATGAGTTTTTTTGGTTTTGTTTATAAAGTGCCTTCAGTAATCTAACTCGAATGAACAAATCAAAGAGATGTTTAAACAAATATATCAGCGTGGCTTTTGGAAATATGTGGATGGCGGACGTAAAATTGTAAAGTGTTACACCTCTTATGCCATATTCACTTTATTTCCGTGTATACTTAAGACAAGGTCATTGATAAACTAGTTGCTATTGTATTATGGAGATTATAAAGAAACACAGCATATTAGTTTCACTTTCACTTTCAAATAAAACCAAGGAAAGACAAGGGAGGCTAGATAAACAATGGACGCTTCTATATACAAAGCCCACATTAATATCCAATATATCTGGCAGCAAACAATGTAGCTTTTATCAATGGGAGGTAAAAGCAGCTCGCGCACAATAGCAACCTGAACTCCTGAAACTAGTAAAACAGCACAATCAGCTTTGTTTAAACAATCAAGATGGCGGAAATCACACTGTGTGCTCTCGTTATCCACTTTATTAGAGGAAAATGAATGCATTTCAGAACATGTTTGGAGGTTTGGCCCTCTAACCTTAATTTCTGAGCACAATTATGACCTATGAGGGAATATTCAAATTTTTCAAGCAAGCATGGCACTTATATTAGTTGGATGAAGAATGAATTACTAAATTATCCACTTAATGAGGCCTTTGATGAAGCGTGAAATGATTTTGTAGCTGATTTGTTTATCAATGCATTGATTACTAATTGACTTCTTTCTGTGCCTCAACTTTTCCTATAAGTATCAGCCATTCTATGATCATGCCAGCAAAGCCCGAGTTGGAACCGCCATTGATTTGCTCTATCACCTTGCACTTATGATACCCGTTCACTCCATGGCCTTGAGGAAGATGTTTCACCATAGTCTCCGAGCAGCTTCAGCTGCGAATTTGGTATCAAACATCAATCCCTGCCTTTTTTGAGTGAGCAAATTCTGTTGGAATTTTGATAGCAGCCATAACTTAATTTTTTTTTTTTTACCCAGCATAGTAGTTGTTCCCAGATTGTGCCTGCTTTTCTTGCTGATTTTTTTGTCTCCGATGGGTTCAGAACACTAGAGAATAATCTGCAGTATATCTTCCGATGCGTCTTACATTTCAGTCAACAATCAAGCGAAGCCATTTTAGCTTCTCACACCAAGTTAGATCAGTATCATGCGTTAAGAATAAGCTGGGCTCTGAGATTTAAGGAAAAATCCCCCTCCTCATTTTGTTTACAGAGCAATCACTAGTTTTCCTTTTAAAAAGAATCCAGTGCCTTATGTTGCCTACTTTTTTTTTCATCATTCGTAATACCAGATTGCTTTCAAAATATCGGGACAGCTTTCACAATAGTATGTTATTGTATATTATTGTTTCCTTTTTGATGTGAATTATAATTCCAGTCTCTTTTTTTTAATGTACACTGTGTATCTTTAAATGGAACTTTTCGGGATGGAAAAGGGATTTTTGCTGTTAATTGTGCACTGCTTTCCAGCCATTCACCTTTTGAGTTATTGTATCACTCCATTGGCAAAAGGAGCTCAGTGTTGACAGTATTGAATTACTTGTGCATAATGTATGTTGTTTTGTATTAAATGCATTCATATTTATTGGGGCTGTGCATGGATCGACGCTCACCCACAGAGCCTAATATTAAAAAGGGCATATTTATGAAAGCGAGCCACTTAAAGAAGGGAACTGACACATGGGACACCTAGTTTCAACATAACAAGCATCTATTTTAGTCCTCGAGGCTCTGAAAAGTGCCTTTGGTTTAATTCTGCTAATTCTTTTATGATTTATTTTGAACGAACTAAAATGTGTGTAAGTTTATAGTTGATCGTTTTATATGTGCTTGCTCCAACTTTTTCCCACCACTGCCTTTTCTGTAGGTTTTCTGCATTTTAGTTTTGGAATTCTTAAAGTTTAATATGAATCAGTGTTTTTATTTTCTGGCCTTTCACTTCTTCATCATTTTATTTTGTAGATGGTTTAATCCTAAGTGCATAGGCCATATGTTTTAGTGCAAATCTAAAGTGCACATAACCGATTTGTTGTGGTGCTCAAGAGTGTTAAAGAAATGTGCCCTTAAATATGATTTCACATGCTTTTAATAACTGTGTAATAATTATTTAGGCTTTTTTTGTGTTGGGAATATGTGTATACCAAAGAGTTTAAATAGTGTGGGCAGAAACTGCGAGACTGAGCTGTGGAATGTGGACAAGATGTTGTTTTTTTTTCTCCCTTTTTTCTTCTTTTTCCTCAGCAGCACATGTTCCTCAATGTTCTTATGCACAAGAAACACAGCGGGTATTGATTTATTAGCCATTATATTCAGGCAAAAAAGCATAATCTGTATACATTTGCACAGTGCACTCACTTTGTATGTACATATCATTTATTGTTTTATTTTATTTTTATTTTTCAGAATTGATAATACAATGTGCATGTGCCAGATTTCAAGAGTAGAGAAACAAAGAAATGATTTCAGAAATGCTGTGTGTTTGTGTTTTGTGTGTAGATGGAATGTGTCGGAGATGGGAATATGCTCAGATTAATTCTACATGAAAGTAAGGCTGATGGAGAAACTTTAGGCGATGGAATATTTACAACGTCACTCTGGAATTATAAGCCGTATCTTACATTTCTCTCAATTGAGTTATTCATATATTCTGTGACAGCATATTTACAAATGGTAGAGAACAAAACTTGATATAAAAAAATAATTGTAAAGCTCAATCTGAATGCAAAACTTTGTCTTCCAAGGTGGTGAATATTTACCAATGTAATACAGGCCCGTTGCCAGATCTTTTTGCAATCATTCGCTGCTTTTTCTATTTAACTATGAGGCTTAAATTCTGCATGTAGGGACATTTTATGCACTTTTTTATGTGAGATGGTCATCATGATCACACATTTTGATGTTCAAAACACATTTGCTAAAGATTTAGAATAAAAAATATTTATATATTTTATTTTTAAAATACAAATTCATCACATCATATATCAATATGGGGGAAAGGAATCTGTTAAGGCATTCAATTAAAAACTACCTATTAAAGCAAGGTAAATTGAGTGTAATAGAAAAATAACAAACTGGCCAGCACATTCAACTTTTCTGTCAGAATTTGGCCACTTAAATAATAATAATGTAGAGCTTCCTGATTTTTTTCCCTAGCCTTTCTTGTAAATTGTACATTTAAAATTCATGGATAACCACAATAGCCTACTTAGTATTACAAATAACTTTTATACGCTTCAAAATTTACTTTTGGTGCTTTACACTTTTTTTATTGTTTTTTTTTTTTTTTCAAGAATGAAATTCAAGATGTAGAATAAAAGTTACTTGTAAAAAGTATTTAACAAAAATACAATAAGTCAGTAGTGAAAGATGACTTCACTTGCGTCAGATTCATCTCAGTCATAAGACTTCTTCGAGGTGTTATTTTTACAATTTATGCTTACATAGCAGTCAAAATGGGGCAAATGAGCTCATGTATGAGACAAATTCTGGACCTTTGCTAGTGAGAACCACTCGAACCCCTCTCTGGCTATCGGCCTGCAATATGTACAAACTCAATTTTTCAATTAGTATATTGGTAAATTATAGTTTAGATTATTCTTTAGCATTCTTTAGCCTCATTTTCATTCCATTAAATACGATGTTACTCTGATTATATGCTTCAATAGGATGTTTGACAGTCATTTTATAGCTATAACTAGGGCCAGACAGAATCTGCTGACATTTTTTGGTATTTCAGCTGTATATTTTTTTTCGATAGTCTACAGAACAAACCATCATTATACTATAACTTGCCTAATTTTCCTAACCTGCCTAATTAACCTAGTTTAGCCTTTAAATTTCACTTTTAGCTGTATAGAATTGTCTTAAAAAGTATCTGGTAAAATATTTACTGTCATCATGGCAAAGATAAAATAAATCAATGATTAGAAATGAGTTATTAAAACTATTTTGTTTAGAAATGTGTTGAAAAAATATTTTCTTTGTTAAACAGAAATTGGTGAAAATAATAAACGGGGGGGGGGGGGGGGGGACTAATAATTCTGACTTCAACTGTATATGAAATAAAAAAAAATATATAATTTTTTTACAATGCAAATCCATTTAGATCCACTTATTGGGTAAACAAAGCAAGTCTACCATATTATAGCTCTACTAAAAGACAGAAAATAATACTTTACAAACTGTATTGTTAATAAATCATAAGAACATTTTTATATTAATCAATATTATTATTGAAATTAAATGAAAAAAATGAATAAGTATAAAATTGCACACATTCACACACACACACACACACACAAACTCAATAATGGGCTTAAAATCGGCGGAAATCTGTGGATTGCTGTGCGTGCAGATTCTGTGTGGGCCTAGCCATAACTCATTATTAGCAATTAATTACTTTTGTCGTATATTAGATGTTTTAATGTCGTGTAAGTTCGATGTGAGGTCAAAAAAAAATACATTTATATATTTATATATATACTTCAAAGCATACAAAAATATACTAATATGTTGTTTCCTATAACAGTTTAATTTATATATTTACAATTGATATAAAATTCTGTGGGCATCTTCTGCTTAAGACATATGCTGGACAAGTTGGTGGTTCATTCCGCTGTGGCAACCCCAGATTAATAAAGGGACTAAGCTGAAAAGAAAATGAATGAATTAATTCTGTTTCTGTTAGTGTATTTAACGTGACTTTAAATACATGTCAGAGAGCTTTTCAACCAGAGATGACCAAACTAGGGCCTGGGGACCAACGTTGGCCCATGGTGACCTTTGATTTGGCCCGCCATCTTATCTAAGAAGTAAGGGAGAGTGATGTTGATGGTTTTGAGATTGTCAATTCAAGTTTAATGTAACCTTTTTTATCCACTGTGTTATAAATGTGATTGTTTATGTTTTTTATTGCAATGAGTTATTTAAAAAGTTATACTGCATTAGTTAATACGATTTAAAATAATGTTTTCTATTTATTTTAAATATTATTAAATAAATCAGTAAATTATTCACGGCAACGTTAATGTAATATACAGTAGTTTGGTATATTTACCTCCAGGCCACGGCTCTCAATGATATTTGGCTTTTGGTTCTTCGTAGGATAAAGTTTGGGCATCCCTGTTTTCAAGCAGCTCATTCGTGGTCGTATACTGCCTCCAGTGGCCGCTCTGCGCGTTCACAACAGGTTTGACGTAGGGCGTGATTGCGCCGCGCTCTCCTCCTCCCCCTCGGCTCCGTCTATCTGGAAAAAGAAAAAAAAACTTTTTGTATCGAAGGAATCAACAGCCGCCATCTTGTCGCGGCTCGGAATCAGGATTTCGATAGAGCACTATTTTTTATTTTTGAACACGGAGCATTCAAATCGAGCTTTGACGACCCCGTTCAGCGGAAAATGACACCTTTATAACGGCGCGGAGGAATTTTTGGCGGAAAACCCTGGATTTAATCGGCGTGCGTCGGCCACAAAACCCTCGTATATCTGGTTTCCCCTTCAGAGCGGCGCTTGCGTCCGTATTTCGCTCCGAGCTGTTATTGTTTACCGGACGCTTTTGGAGGACAGGCAGCGCCGAGGAGACTATTTTGCAAAAATATCTCATTTTTATGCAACCGTGCATTTTCACAAGAAGCCAGAGGATTTTTGCACGGAAAAAATTGACGTCAGAAAATGGATCGCGTGCCGTTGCAAAATTAACGACGCTCGCGCGCGCAGACTCCTATGGTTATTTTATTTGGGATTTTGCGTTGAATTCGCGGAAAGGAGGCGTTTTCTCTCGGTAATATAACGATGATAATGTGGGTGTTGGGTGTTGGATTATCATGGGGTGAATGGTGGTGGCGACGCGGGGCGCTGTTGCTGCTTTTTTGAGAAAATCCTTCGCCAAGCCGCTCCACACTCCCCAAGTCTTTCAAAAGTAAGGTAATATCTGTTTTTCCGACGAAAGGATCCTTCACTTTGCATTTTTGACCCACAACACTCAGCCAGAAGCTCACTTGAATCGCAATGGCTGAAAATGTGCTCGACGTCGGCCCTCCCAATGCGAAGCGGGCGAAGCTGACAGCACCTGCTCCAGACGCACCAGGTAAAGTCCAGCAGGCCTGATCCCAAAACCTGCAAAATAAGATCATAGTAAATTCTCTCTAAACACTGTAACACACGCCATGTGCCTCGCAGCTGTCCGATGAGCCAAGAAACAGTTCAGTTAGTTGGTTTACTGCACCCCAAAATAAAGTTTCAGTCATCATTTGCTCACCCGCATGCTGTTCAAAACTAGTTTGAGACTAAAGGAGAAATTAACTTTAACATCACTTTATTTTTAACAGTGAGATTGTATTGCCACTCACATCATTCTTTATGAGATGTAACAGTTTTCCTTTACTCCTGTGTAGTGTTTGTAGCGTAGTTGCTAATACAGTTAGCATGTCAAGAGTAGCATTGCTTTGCATCCGAAGTTTAGACAATGACGTTTGCTTGACACGCACTTTGGAAAAGGTTGTGTCAAACTTGTGTGCATGTGAGTGTAGGTGAACTCCTCTAATGTCAGTTTTATAATGTATTGCATCATTCACGTCGTGAAAGCACATCTGACGTTATCCAGTAGAGCAGCACATGGAATCGAAAGTGCACGAAGTAAGGGGACAGATGCGTCAGAATGTCCCGGGACACTTGCTGATATTAAATGAAATTGGCGCTATGATATACAGCAGTAAAGGTGCATTTGGTGACTTTTGTTAGTGATTGGACTTTTTAAAAGGTTTTATCGTTTCATAGATTGCCCGGAGAGGCACTTATGATCTTAAGATTTCTATAGTTGGTTACAATTTTGAAAAGTATTTATTTTTTTATCTATTAAAACCAAAAATCACTTAAAGCAGAGATTTGTGTGGGTTTTGTAGATAAAAAAAATGTATTGAATATAGAGGGTCTACCTCTTACTATTGATTGACATGATCAGCTGACTTAAAGAGGGGTAGTTCACCAAAGAGAAGTAGTTGTTAAAAAGGTGTTTTTTTTAGGCACGACATGTTAAAACATTAGTAATGTTATATGTTTTTGCTGGATTATGTGCTTATCTCAAATGTTTTGAAGTATGTTCACATCCAGAGAAATGAGCAGTTTTAACTAGTGACACAGACCATGTGTCGTCATAATGAATCATTCATCCTCGATTGCTGGTTTTATTTAATAGAAAATGTAGTGGCAAGTTTCTTTAAAGAGGCTCTCTCAGTGGAAAAGAAGACAGTCTTACCCAATGTGTAGTAAACAAAGAATTTGTCTTTTACCAGAGTTCAGATGCCACTTAAGTTCCTTTTTCCCAGATGTCAGTGGGGTTTCTCTCTGGGCCCGGTGGTCGGTCCCTCAACCCTCAACGCGTGGGGCAGGGCTGTGACACGAAGTCCCAGGATGATTAGTCACTGTCCACGGGTTTCGAAAAAGTTCCTCCAAGACATCCCACTATTCTGACACC